ATTGTATGTATTTCACATGACATCGATGTCTTAAAGTCCGTGAGACGTTGAGTTTCATGCTTATGATTTCTCTTAGTACTATTTTCTTAAAAGTCAATAAGACCTCTCAGAATCAGAAACTCTTTTGAATAAAAAAAGGATGCAGTTCCGTTTAAATATTTTGATTTATAAATAAAAAACATTTATCCAAAAAATGTTAATACACATAGCCCTAAGAAAACTGCCTGTCACATGGAAAGTGCCCTATGCATGTGACTATTATAATTGCTGTTGTCATGATTATTACTACTATAATCTATTGCCATTATTGATGTTGTTTTCTCCCTATACGCCAAGCTCCAGCCACTATATGACATTTGTTCTTAATCCCTTTTGTATCAGGGCTCCTTTTGAGAGTGTGGAAGAGACATACCTCTTTCCCCGGAAAATATCCCATTCGTAACATAACGCCTATAAGTCAGAGGTGATTGATCCCTGAACCAATTCTTGGGCCCTTTGAAGAGAACAGTGTGTTCAAGGCTTTGTGAAACCATGTTATAGGAAAAATACTGAAAGAATTAAATATATTTAGATTTGTGAAGGATAGGACCAAGGGAGACATTTTTAAAAAATACTCAGCAGGATTTCTCTTCAACAACTCAAAGAAAGGTTCTCAAATTGCCTGGGACTATAACTCTCATTAATGCTGAATTTTTTCATCTCAGAATAAAGACAGATGATGCTGAAAGGTTTCTGACCATCCCTCAGCCATCCCTCACCTCATTGGGAGCATCTCCTCTGGTCTTGTCTGCTGCAGTGGCCACCTGTCTTGTCTCCCTGTCTCCAGATTCAATACTAGTGATTTTCCTGAGCAACATATTGTATCATGTCCCTTCCATGCTTGAAAATCTTCAGTGTGTCTCCTTGGCCTCCAGGATAAAGTGGAAATTCCGTAACACCCCTACGAGACCCTTCATACTTTGGAATATCTTTCTGGCACCCCAGCACCTCCCACCTATACATCAGCTTCTAGAGACCTTTCTGCCTTGCTGTTCACTCCTCAAGCATTTATTGAGCACCTTCCAAACAAATGTTAGGGACTGTGCTGGGTTTTGGGGTTCACTGGAGAAACTCATAGATGATGTCCCTCCTCTCATGGAATGTATATTGCAGTGCTGGAGACAGATAACCAACCAACAAACAAACAATTGGTTAGTCCTGTGTTTTCACAGAGACACTATGGGTTATGGAAGAAATACTAGGGTATATTATGATAGGATGTGGTCAGCAAGTGGGTTATTTTAAAGCAGAGGCCAGTGAATGTAACACTTGAGTCAAGTCCTGAAGATGAGGAGGATCCACAAAGTGAAGATCTGGGGAAAGAGCATCCAAGGTAGAGAAGCAGCAAGTGAAAAGGTCCTGAGGCAGGAATAAGCTTGGTTGGTATAACAAACAGAAGGCCAGTGGCTGAAGTGTTGTGAGTAAAGAGAAGGATGATATGGATGAGGTTGGAGAGGCCGGCATTGCCCAGACCATATAGGAGCTAGACAACCATGGAGATTGGCAGAATCTGATTTACAAAACCTGAAGCAATGGGAGAAAAATTGTGGGCTCTAGTCTCCAAGTGAACACAGGTCTTATGCATGCACAGCTGTGCTCACAATTTGATGAATGTAATGAACCTGAAGCTAAGAATCCTTGCTCTGCTAATACTCCAATACATTTTGGAAGGCAACCTGATCTCTTGAACTTATTGGTTTTTAGGGCTTTGGGGGGGCGTCCAAAAAAATCGTATCTCCAATAGGCAGTTATATGTATGACTCTGGGGCTCAGGAGAGGGATGATGGATGGAGACTGGGATTTGAGATGATCAAAAGCCCTTGGCATTTAAAAACCAACAGAAGTCATGGGTGCAGGTGAGGCCATGCAGGAGAGGTGCATGCAGAACTGGTGTGTGCCTTTTGGATCATGAAAGTCTTTGAGGAGAAAAATCACCCTCATAAACACACTCTCACACAAGTAATTTTGCACATTGGGATCTCTGACACACAAAACTGCCTCCATGTGGGTCTCCTCAAGAATCCATGACACGCCACAGACTCACCTCCACCCAGTAATCTCCTGCTTCCTCCTTCACCACAAGACAGCTTCGAGGCTCCACATCCCCATAGCAGGGCAGTCAGATGGTTCCCCAAGACCAGGGGTGGGCAGTATGTCTGAGATTCCTGGTGCCGGGGCTCAGGAGCCGAGAGGGTGGCAAGATGTCCAAACTGGCCTCATCACAGGAAGAGTTAAAGGGTTCTAAGTGGTTCCTTGGAGAGCCTTGTCACAAGGGACTGGAGGAAGCAACTGCCAGTCTCCCTGCTCTGAACATGCACCCCAGGCCAAGGCTTTGGGCACCACCCGTGGCTCCCACAAGGAAACTTAACTGGCCACCACCAAGGAGGTTTTGGTGGGGAGACCTTGGCACAAGAACACAGACTCTCTTGGGCTCCTCTGGGACCCCTGCCTACCCTCTCTGGATGTGAGAATTGAAGGCAGACTGGGAGGAAAGCTTGCTTATTTCTTTGTCTTTTGTAATTACTTCCCTCTTTCCTTCTCCTCTGTCTTTTCCTTTTTCCCAGATCTCTTTAAATATCTCTCAATCCATTTCTCTGAAGTTCTCTCTCTGCCTGCCCCCTTCTCAGTTTCTCATCCCTCTTTGTTTCTGTATCTCTGTCTTTTTTACTTAGTCTTTCTCTGTTGTAGTCTTTCCAAATGTCTTTGTCTCCCTGCTACCAGCTTTCTGTCCCTCACTCTGTTTCATTTCTCATTGTCTCTCTGACTCACTTCCGTGGTATCTGTGTCTCTCTAGGTTTCTTCTACTCTCGGTCTCTCTCTGACTTCCTCTATGTGCTTCTCCCTTTCTCTCCTAGAATCTCTTTCGATCTGAAGGTACTTTTCGCCCACTCTTTCACTTTCTCTCCCACCAGAGTTTCTCACTCTTTCTCCCCTATTGTCCTTTTTCCTCTTTTTTCTCATCTGTCCTTCAAAATAGTATGATTATTTTTCAGGATCATCAAAGCCAATTTTTTAACAATCAACACAATTTTATATACAGGCACTGCTCTAAAATTAAGGAAATAGGCATGTGAATGTTGTAATCATCAGCGTGTTACCTACACACACACCATAGAGCCATAGACACATCATGGACTGTAAGGTGCTTTGAATTCAGGAATCACAGATGCCTTATCTACATGTTCTCATTCTCTACACGCTCTATTCCCTCAGCACCCAGCATGGGTCCTATCACTGCGTATGTTAAGTGACCACAGAGTGAAGGGGTGAATACATACCCAGACATTATGTGTGTCTGAAGACACATCATGCCCCCAGTTGGGGCCTTTTCTTCTTCTTTATAAAACAGTGGAACTTGACCTCACTTGATCCCATAAATGTGGCTCTGAGGCCACATTTGCACAAGTTACTTAACATCACCTGCCTCCCTTAGCTGTCATTGAGTACACAATCTTAGTGTGATTTCAGAACCACGGACAGATCTCAGACAGTGGTGGGGCTGGGCAAGGCAAGTCAAAGGCTGAACCAGGGAAATTTTTGCCTGCTTTTTGGGTGCAAAGTACCAATCTTTGCTATAGACATAATACCTAACTTATGGATAAGGAAGAAATGGAAGCAAAGTAAATTGGAGAGTTTGGTACACAGCAGTAGTTAAACGTGCTAAGTATGATTATGATTTTCACAACCTTCTGCAAAATGGAAAACTATGACACCTCTCTCGTAGGGGATGGTCTACAGTCATCCAGGTCAGGACAGAAGGGAACCACAGCCAGATGATGACTTTATATCCAGCCTTTTACTTGCAATATGCAGCAATGATAGGCTGCAAAGGGGCATCACATCAGATGAACTGGTTTCCATCTTGGCTGCCTCAGTGTCTAGTGGTGGGTCTTGTGCTAGTCAGTCACTCTACATGATTCAATATTCTGCTTTTAGCAAATGGGGCCACACTAGAGAGACTGCAGAGGGAAGGGAGGGTGTTGGGAGAAGTAATCATCACTGGATCCTGAATGTCCCCGCACATTCTTGAAGGGAATGCTAGGACTGCAAACCTGACTACTCTTTGCCAAGGAGAATTCTCAGCCTTGTGTTTGCAGTGAGAAACCCTGCAGCTTGAAGGCACATCTTCTACACAGAGAAAGAGCAGACTTGCTTCCACTGACTATGAAAGACGTATATTTTCCAAACTCAGTGTGCCTCTCCCGTAATGCAACCCATTGTTGCAGTTATCCATCATAAGCTCTTTGCAGTCATCCCTCTAGGACTTGGATGGCATGGGGAACTGATATAAAAAAAACACGAAGCACTATATACTTCTTTAGCCAGAGTACTAAAGTCCTTTGTCTCTGACCCAGAAGTCTCTTGCCTTCTACCAGCATCTTCTACCATTTACATCTAGAGTGAAATCCCAGGTCTTTCTTAGCTCTTGACAGAGAGACACTGCCCAGGCAGGAAAGTGCAAGCTGGCAGGGGCCACTAATGCAGGAATACCAGTATTTTTAAAATGCACACACCATTTGTGGCTTCCCAGAGTGAGCTACTGAGGCAGCAGATGAGGCTACAGTCAGTTCTTGCTGGGGGCTGGCCTCTGTGCCCTGAAACCAGCTGTAAGAGTAGGTCAACATGTGAAGGGCACCATCTATTCATCCCTTTTCCCCTTCAGTCATTGAGAATTTCTGGGACAGTCTCATTCTAGTCCACATCTCTCTCTCTGTGTGTCTCTGTGTCTCTCTCTGCCTCTCTCCCTCTCTCTCACACACACACACACACACTGCCCTTGTTTCATTTCCTCAGAGGAAATAGTGTATAGCCAGTTTTTAAAATATGAGTTTTTATGTATTTGAGTGTAAGTGTGCATAACACATCCTCCATAGAACTGCGGCAAAGAAATAACACAGTTCACAGCCTAGAGGAGGCAATCCAGAATATTAATATATTTCTTCTCCCCTCAACACTACATCTTAGAGATCAATCCTTTTCCCCATGAGCCTCTTGCAGGCCCCTTTCATGTGCTTTTTCCACAGGCTGTAGATGAGGGGGTTCATCATGGGGGTGAGAACGCTATAGGAGATGGAGATGATCTTGTCTTGGTCATGGATGGTCTTGCCGTGAGACATCATATACATGGAGATGGCCATGCCATAAAGGAGGACCACCAATGTGAGGCATGATCCACATATCACAGCCCTCTGTGGACTGCATCTGAAGCACGGCCACCAGGATGCTTCGATAGGAGCCCAGGATGAAGGCAAAAGGAGCCAGCAGTGTCAGGGCACTGGTGCCCACCAGAAGAAAGTGGTAGAACTGCAGATCAGAGCAGGCAAGCTTGAGCAGGGCCAGGAGCTCACATGAGATGTGATTGATGAACTGAGGACCACAGAACTCCAATGGCATGATCAGCACAGGGACCACAGTCAGCAGGAAGGCTGCAGTCCATGAAGTCCCAGCCAACAGGACACACAGCTGGGGCCTCATGTGCACAGAGTAGCGCAGGGGGTCAACAATGGCCACACAGTGATCACAGGCCATGGCAGCCAGCAGAAGACATTCCACATAACCCATATAAAGTTCTGCGGCCATCTGAGCCAAACACTGTCCTAGCGAGATGATGGGGATGGTCACCAAGCAATTGATGAGCATCTGGGGCACACTGGACGTGGTGTAGCACATGTCCAGGAAGGACAGGTTGCTGAGGAAGAAGTACATGGGCATTTGGAGCTGGGGATCATAGTAGATCAGGAGCAGGATGAGGCTGTTCCCACAAAGGGTGATGATGTAGGACTTGAGGAGCAGGCAGAGGAAGATGGTCTGGGCCTGTGGGTACTGGGAGAGCCCAAGCAGAATGAAGGTGACCTCGTCTGTGCTGTTCTGGCTGTCCATGCTCCTTCTGAAACTCTAGCTGGGTGGAAAAACATGTATCACCTTGAGGGGTTGTTCAGAAACTGCCGTCTTATATAGATAAGGTTTGACTTTTTCAGACACCAGCATTAATGTGTTCCTGGGCATTGCTGCCCAGATTCTTACCCCTTTACCCCAAAATGGCCATGTCAAACACTGGGAAAGTTGCTTAATATATTCTACCATTCAGCAGCCCTCATTGACTCATTCAATTATATAACCATTCACTGTTTAGTGGATTGATGGATTGTTGGATGGATTCGGTCATTCATTCATTAATTCTTTTACATATTGGTTAATGGCTTCCTTCATTCATTCATTTATAAAGGAGTCATTCAAAATGAATCCATTTATGGATGGAGTCACTCATTTTTTCTTTAATGAATTCATTCACTCATTCAACCAACATTTTTAAGCAGCTACTAACTAGGTCCAGACTCTGTCCCAGGCAAAGGAATTACGATGGAGAACATGGGAAACGGGATCAGCCCTCATGGAGTTGATAGCCTAAAGGAAAATTGGAAAAGTAACACTAGTATATTCTTTGCCTTCCATTTGTGCTTATTGGCTTAATTGTTAGCAATGGAAACATTTAGAAATATTTAGAGATTGGGATGGGGACCTGCCTTCTTCAGATGAGGATTCTCTCCAGCTTACTTACCACAGTCTCTGGGACACTGGAGACTTGTGACAGCCACTTGTCTTAGTGAAGCTGTGGAACTTACTCTCCTGTCCTGCTTTACCCACTAATATATCCAGCTGGGCCCCATAGATATTTGAGTTTATGAGTAATGATCTCATAGTAGTCTTCTCTTCTCTTTCCTCTAAAGTGTGGGATATGCAGACAGCTCCTCTCTTTCTCCCTTCATTTATTAATCCTTCAGATTAATGACTTAATTTTTAAATTAATGTATATAATGCTGAAGGTTTTGTTCTGCACTCCTATGAGTTTTAGCACATGTGCAGATTTGTGTAAACAACACCAGAATGGAGATAGTGTTGTGTAAGACCTCAGGTGTCACTTTTGTCCAGGTTTAAATCGTAGCGCTGTGTCTCAGTAGCTGTGCAAACTCAGAAAACCCACTCAGGATCCTGAGTTCATCTGGAAAATGGAAATAAAGAATCTTCCTCCCAGGGATGCTGGGAGGATTACATGCAACTATGTTTAAGAAGCACTGAGAACAGACTCTGTCTCATTGTAGCTATAAATTAAGGCAACTGTGTTATAAATTATCCTCGATGTTCAACTAATTATGTTCAAAATTTTCAGATATAGAAATACTGCAAAGATAAAAAAAATAAAATAAAACCCACGAGTCCATTACCAGATTTAGCCACTCTTACTTTTTTAATATAACTCATTTGAAATATTTTTCTATGTACACACACACACACACACACACGTGCACATAAGAAGCAAAACAGAAACATGTATGTCATTCTATTTTCTAACCTGCTTTTTCTCTTATCGAGATAGCCCTGACATAGTCCATAGTAATAAATAAGATTTATTTGTTTCTTTCAAGTTATGACATATTCCAAAACACTGATAATTGTGTCATGGTTCATGTAATTAATCCCTCATTTTGAACATTTAGATTATTTCCATTTTTTCTTACAATAAACATTCCTTTCTTAAGCATTATTTTACATATATCTTTGCACAGTTGTAAGATTATTTCCTTAGGATAATCCCCAAGAGGTGAAATCTCTTAGCACAGGATAAGGCCAGATATTTAAAATAATGTAAAGAACAAAGTGCAGAAGCAAAGGAAAACTAAAAGAAAAATAGCAAATCCTGCTATTCATTCTTTCATTCATTACTTTAATGAATGTTTACTATCTATTTCCTAGGAGTCTGTTCTAGGCAGAGGGACAAGTCATAAAGAAGTTAATGTGCCTGAATTCAAAATGATTCCAGTTAGGGGTGGAGAAAAGGATATAGACAAGTATGTAAATAAATCAACAGACAAACCCTCAAACCCTGCAGTGAGATGTCAGGGGAACTGAGTATGAAAGGTATACAGACAGTGCCGGTTTTAGTCCTTGATGAGGAATTTGAAGATCCTTAAGGAAAAGGGTCCCAAGGGTGTTGATCATGGCACCTCCCTTACAGGAAGAGTTGCCATGCTCCAGAAGCCAGTGTCACCATCACCACGTCCCTTCACTGCTCATGGTCTCAGCGCCTCATCTGGGAAATGGGAAGAATTGCCCCCACCATGTGGAGAGGTGAATTGGGGGATTGAGTGAGAGGAGAGCAGCGAGGCGGAAGACTGGCCAACTCGATCCTGGATGCTGAATAAACAGTCTCTCCTACCTTTCCCTATACCAACCCAGGGGCTCCCACTGCTCTTGGAACGTCCAAAGACCTTGCTGTGTTCCCACTGTACTTCCTTCACAGAGAACCTCCCTCATCCAAGGTACACACATGTCCTCTCTCATCCCCTTCAAATGACAGCATTCAATTTGGGTGTCAGGACAAAGGAGGAGATAAAATTATACATATAAATTGTCCCCCGTTTTTCAGAAATTGTGGCCTACCTACTGTTCTCTTGGTCACTGTAGTGTACCCACTGTTCCAACCATACTTACTGCCTCCACCAAATGAATCATTCCAGACTACTTTTAAACTTAACAATGTATTGATAGTCTATTCATAAAAGTATAAAAACATTTCCTTCTCCTTTTAGATTTCTGTGTTGTATGGATATATGACAACTTCCTTACCCATCCCTATTTATGCACGAGCCATAATTTCTTTACCTGGACCAATATTTATAGATGTTTGAATAGTTTTCCATCTTTTGAGTTACAATCTAGTACTGTTTTTAAATTGTGTTTGAAAATAGTTCTATTCATCTCTTGTTTTGCACATGTGGCCACATCTGTAGGATAATCTTCTAGAAGCCGAAAACTTGGAAAGGAGCAGATGTTGTTTGAATGACAGGAGAGTGCAGGAGTTGACTGCCTGGGGTGGAAGCCAGACTTTCTGGGGACAAAGTTTAGCTCATCCACTCACTGGCTGAGTCGTCTTGGACAAGGGTTTACTTCTCCATGTCTTATTTTCATCATTTTCACAATGGATCTAGTAATGGCGGCATCATAGGGTAATGATGTAACAGGATGAGGATGAAATGAGATATTACATACAAATTACATAGAACAGTGTTCAGTGCAAAACAAACACTCCACAAACGCTAGAAATTTGTGTGAAGGCAGCAGATCCAAATGCATCATGTTGCATGACATCGGGTTGGATTCACAGCTATGGACTGATGACTATCATGATTAAAAGTTGAGACTTTCCACTGTCAATCACCAATGGATTTCTCACCCCTCAAACTGAACCCCATGAATGAAGCCCAATTCTTGATATCTCAAGGTTTCTGGATGTCCCTCAAACACGAGCAGCTCAACAGGTCCAATAAGCACAATCATCTCCACCTTCTCCCACCTGCTCCACACAAGTGCTGCCACCTGTCTCCCCCCGTCAATCGTGGCACCGCTCTTCTCCCAGTTGACCAAGCAAAACATCTGGGAGTCATCCAGACAACAGGCTTTCTCACTTCCCTGACATCCAATCTTGCAACATTGTCTTATGGATCTCATCTCATCAGCATCTTTCAGCTCTGCACAATCCTCTCAGAGCCTCTCCATTTCCACAGGTGGCCACTCTAATCTTTAATCTGACTTTCCATTGCAGCTTGCCCACTGCTGTTCCAGACTCCAGCCTTCTCTTCTCTCCTTCCATTCCACCATTTCACACACCAGCCAAAACTATATTTCTAAAATACAATTCTAATCTCATGTTGTTCCTCTGAGTAGAACCCAGAGGCCCTGCATCATCTCCTCCCATCAACCTCTGCAACCCCAACTCCCTCAATTCCCGTCTCCACTTCAATGACAGTCACAGTGCCCTGCCCTTGGCTCCTCATCATGACATGCTTATTAAACCACCTGTTTCTAGCACATATTCCTCCTTCTGACCATAATTTTATGGGGCTAAGTCTAGCATGGGAGGCAGACCAGAGCAGGAAAAAAAATCACCAAGAAATATATCATTTCAAACTCTAGAAAGAGAGAGGAGAATAACTTTATAATGGGGAAACTTGAAATACTACCTTAGCCAGGTGAGCAGGTGAGCATTAACAGTGATAAGTCTGGGTGACATTACCTACTCATGAAATGATGTCATGAAAATGGCACTTTACCTCCGTGGTCTTCCTCCCAAAATCCCCTAGCTCCTATAATAAGTCTGAGAAGAACAACAGACAAATTCCAGTTGAAGGACATTCTACAAAATTCCAGTAATCTTCAAAACTCTCAAGATCCTTAAAAGTAAGGAAAATCTGAGAAACTATCAGAGCTGAGAGACACATGATAAGTAAATATAGCATCCTGGATGGGATCCCGGGGTAAAAACTAAGGAATCTAAATGAAGTGAGGACGTTAGTTAATAATAATGTATGAATATTGGTTCATAAATTTTAATGAAAGTTCATTAATTTTAACAAAAGTGATGTTTAAAAAAGGGAAGATGGGTGCAAAATAGATGGCAAGTATATGTGCTCTCTTTGCAATTTTCTGCAGATCTAAAAAAAAAAACCTCAAGGATTACTATTAAAATATTCTAGCACATGAGATATGAACCTTTATTATTGGAAGGATTTAGTTGAAAGCATATGGGACTTGGAATTGACACCTAAATTCATGCCCTTAGCCAGGGATAGCAAGTACACTTGCTTGTTCCCCCATTCATCATTCTTGTGCCCATAGCAGATTTTTTTTAATTTTTTGTTTATTGCAGTAACATTGGTTTATAACATTGTATAAATTTCAGGTGTACATCATTATACTTCTATTTCGGCATAGATTACATCATGTTCACCACCCAAATACTAATTACAACCCATCACCACACACATGTGCCGAATTATCCCTTTCACACTCCTCCCTCCCCCCTTCCCCTCTGGTAACCACCA